TAATTAAAAATTTTTGGCAAATTCATATTTTCATTAGCAGCTTGTCCACGCCAGGCCAGAAATGAACATTGTCCTTTTTCCTCTTTATGATAATACTAGCTGACCCGGCGAACTTTGTTTCGCCTTAATAAATAAGCAGACTTTTTTTTTATTTCGAACGTAATAAAAAGTATCCTATGTCCTTCTCCTGGCTCTAAACTACCTCCCTGACAATTTTCAGCTAAATCGGTTCAGCCGTTCTTGAGTTATAAGTGGTGTAACTAACACGACTTTCTTTTATATGTATAGATTAGTATAGATGTGGAGAGAGATGCACGTATTGTTTGTTACCTAATCTCGGGCATTGCTTAGAACATAGTTTGCTTAGACAAAAGAGATTTGTATGGACGACAGCATTTCAAAGTAAACCATATCATATGCCGTTGTAATAGATGCTATTTCGCAACATGTAATCTATAAATCTTATGTGCTGTTGTTGTACATAATCCTCTAGTAGATTGAATTGATAGTGTTCACTATGTAGATAACATACTCGTAGGTCATACCTATTGTATCGATTCAATTGTCATCGTCATAATAATACCTGTATTGATGTATTTACAATGCCCCGACCGGTATCCCAAGGATTGGTTGCTTTGATTAACAAGTAATGATCATTGATGAACAATATCTTAGTAATTAAAACATTGAAATATTAGAATAAGATCCACAATCATGTTAGAAAAGATTACTCTACATGTCTTTTGTAACAAATAAAACAAATTTACTTTAGAAACAGACTTAGAATGTACTATAAAATAAACTATAAATGATTAACGAAAAGACGAATAAGAGGTTATGACCTCTGTTCATCATCAAATTAATAAGACTTTTTCATCTACACTTATATAAACTTCTATACTATTACTATACTTTACTATACTTTANCTATACTTCTATACTAATATTATAAAGCTGAAGTTGTGGAACATGACGCTCAACTACCATAAGCAGTTAGAGCATTTACTTTACACAATCTTGGTTTGTCTATATATACTGGGCAGGGTAAAAAACTTCGTCACCGCGATGCAGGATTGTATGCGCGGTGGAGTTTGCCATAGTAAGATCGTAACAGCGCCATCTGTTGGTACGGTTTGTAGTGGCGCAATTTATTAATCACAGTTTGTTTATTTGGTTGAACGCGCTAATCTCAGGAACTACTGAACCAATTTGAAAAATTCTTTTTGTGTTGGATAGTCCGTTAATCCCTGAAGGCTTTAGGCTATATATCATCACGCTAAGACCACTAGGAGCGGAGCACCAATGAAGAATGTTTCAAATCAGTGATTTTTTTTCCTTTTGAGAGCTGACGCTGCGTAAACGGTTAAAGTTTCGCATAAATAATGTATGATAGGATTTTCCCCTTTAAAAGTTCTACAAAAAAGTCCGCGACAGCATATGTCTATCTTTTATGGTTGGCTCACTGTAACCTTTTTGTCTGGATGTCTGGATGTTTGTTCCTCTTTCACGCAAAAACTAATAAACGGATTTTGTTGAAACTTTACAGTATTATTATTTATAACCCAGGCTAATATATAGGCTACAATTTATGACGATATGTGACAAACTAAATTTCAATAAATAGTTAAGAGGTGAGAAATATCCTTAAAAACGCCATCTATCGACGTGCTTTTGACGGTCGTAAACATTCATGAGAGCGAAGCCGTGAAACGTATCATTNACTTTTTCTAAAAGAGATATGTGGCTTTCGAATTCGCCAGAGACCAAAATAATATCGTCTAGGAATGCGAAGACAGAATTCTCGAATTCAGGTCCGTAAAACAGTTGGTCGACTAATCTTTGCTGTGTAGCTGGTGCATTAGTCAACCCGAATGGCATAGTAACAAATCTGAATGTTCCACGGGTGGGTACGTAGAATGCCGTCTTGTCCCGGTCACATTCAGCAATAGGAGTTTGCCAGAAAGCTTTTGAAAGGTCGACGCTACTCAAATATTTTGCGTTTTTTAAGTTATCTAATATTTCAGAAACATACGGTAGTTTGTACGCATCTTTTCGCGTGACGGAATTAAGTTTGCGGCTGTCTAAGCAAAACCGTAATTTACCATTCTTTTTTGGTGTTAATAGGACTGGAGATGACCAGGGACTCTCACATGGTTCCACGACCCCGAGTTGGACCATTTCATCCAGTTCTTGGCATATTATGCGTAGCTTTTCTGGGGGTAGCCTATAATATCGTTGACGTATAGGTGGTGAGTCTCCGGTATCGATACGATGTTCTGTCAAATGCGTTCGACCCAGACCAGCAACTTCCGAAGATATTGATTTATACTTATCAATGACGTCATTCGCGATTGTTTGTTGTGTATTTGATAGTTCATTAAAAGAATGTAACATAATCGTAGAATTCTCGACACTTGATATCTGTTGTGTAGAAAAATTGGTTAGAGATATAGATTTAGAAAATTTAGAAAGCAGTTGAAATTTCTTCCAAAAATCCACACCAAAAATCAGAGATGACGTCACCGATGGCATAATGTACATTTTTAATGTTTTAGTTTGGTTTTCAAATGAAATTGGTAGATTTACATAACCTGTAGTTTTAAGTTTATGACCACCGGCAGTTACAAAAGTTTCGTTGTCGCTTTCATGAATAGGTAGGCCAGTAGAGGCAATAACACTCAGATGAGAATTATTTCCCAATATGGAGACAGCAGATCCAGAGTCTAACAGTCCACACAGGCTCATTGAGCCCACTTTTACCGTGACATATGGGCGAAGGTCACCTTCAGGTTTTTTGTCAAAGATTGTTGCAATAGAGTAACTAGAGAAATACATTTTAACTGTATTTAACCAGTTTAGCCAGTCATTTTTATCAAAGTTACTTGAATTATTATTTTTGCAACAATCTTTGCTTATTAGTTTTTTGAACTAGAATTAGGGTGGCATCTAGGGCAGTTAGGGAAGATAAAATCCTTAAGACCACATTTAAAACAAATTGGATAGCGTTCCTTCTTGCATTGGTGCAATGAGTGACTATTAATGCGGCAGCGTGGACAAAAAATATGCTTGTTTACGGCATCGATAGGCGTAGCTTCTACCGCTGCTACAGTAGACCCATTTGAATAATTATTTTTAGAATTATTGTGGTTATTATACGATTTCGAGTAGTTTTCATAATTATTCTTATAAAATTGTGGTTTATATTCAGTTCTGACATATGCGAGGTCGGGAGCTAAAGTGCTGTTATTTATTTTAGGAGGGTCTCGAAACTGCGAAGATAGACATTGAATTTTTTCATAATTAAGGCATAATTTACGGAGCATAGAAATGGATTCAATCCCGGTGATACAAGAAGCCAAAACTGTTGAGTAACATGGGCGGATGTTATGTAATAGAATTTCTAACTGATCTTGTTCACTTAATTTTTTCGTTAAGCGTGAAAAAAGTTCTGACATTATAGCTAAATAGATGATAATATTTTCTTGATCACCCTGAGTCCTATTTCGTATTTCTGACATAAGCCTGTAGTCGTAGTCTACCGGGCTAAAATCCTCTATAAGCTGGGCTATTAACTCATCCCAATCATTAACAGAGTCACGCACACTGCGATACCAGTGAAGTGCATTTCCAGTAAAAATATCAGCTGCGTACATTAATAATTTATTTGAGGGTAGGTTACGAACGGTTTTATACTCATTCATTCTCTGCACAAACGCGTGAACGCAANGGATTACTAATGTTTGGCCAAAAAACGTTTCCCAAATTATCACATCGCAAACAACGTTTCGCAAATTTTCATTTGGCAAATTCTCATTTGGCAAAACAACTTATTGCAAACTTTTAATTCGCAAATATCGTTTTTGGCATATTATTGTTTAGCAAATTATTGTTTGGCAAAGTATGTTTTGCCAAATGTTTCATTTGGCAAAAATATTTCACAATAAACTATTTACAAAATAATTTGATTGGTGCATAAATGGAATACAAATTAGCTTGTGGTATTATTTTGTTAAGTGGGTAGTTAATATAAAATTTGTTCTAAATTAATTTTCATATTTCATTCTTTTTATCGAAATTTCCAAATGATTCATTAACAATAGAAGTGATTCTAGCGCTCGGCGGCCGCTGCCGCGGCACGCTTCGCTCGCCTTCGCGCGTTAAGGGTCACTGTTCTAACCTAACCTAACCTACTATTTTCTGCAATACCTACTTTCTGCAACCATACTATTTTCTGCAATGCAAAAACCATGATCTGCCTTATGCTTTGATTTGTGGGAAACGGTGGGTAAGTATGTGAAGTGTCAATTTGACCAAACAAATTATTTGGGATATAATATTTGGCAAAATAAAACATTTGCTATATGAACATTTGCCAAGTAAAATTTGGCCAAATGATAATTTGACCAAATGAATTAGTTGCGAAAAGTACAGTTGCTAAAAGTTTATTTGGGAAATGAAACTTTGGCGATAAGTTGTTTGCGAAGTGAAATTTGGCGAAAAGTAATTTGGCCAAACGGAAGGATACCAAAATATTCGCTATTCAAAGAAGAAAACATACGCGTCTGATGCGCTAGATGGCGACACAGTAGCTTCTTGTAGCAGTCAGGTGTGCCGATCACAGTACCGATCACTGAATGTGTAAACGAAACGGTGCTCGACTCTGAGACAAGCTAAATTAATTACACCATATTGTTGACGACATTTTTTTAAATACCTTCGCGAAGAAAACTTTGTATACTTACGAGTATAGTCTGGTCGCCGAGCACGTACAATTTTGTCCAATGACCCCAAGCTACCCATCCTTGTCGCTCGCGCGCGATTGCTGTCGCGACTGTGCGACGGGCGGCCGCAGTTAGTGTGCGAGTGCGATAGCAACTTACGCGCGAGCGATAAAGGTGGGTAGCTTGGGTCAATGGACGAAATTCTACGTGCTCGGCGACCAGGCTTTAGTACATATTATTATTGTGGTATTACTATGAATGCATTGTGTTGTCTTGCAGTATTTGAGCGGCGGAGCGGGACGGGGCGCGGCGAGGAGGACGCGCCGCTGGCCATCCAGCAGCTAGCACTGTGCGCCGAGTCCCGGCGGCTGTGCGTGGCGCTGCCGCACGGGCACGTCGTGCTCTTCAAGTTCCGCAAGGCCGACACGCACCAGGAGACACATGTGAGCACGCATCATCATCATCATTTATAGCCACGATAGCCGAACGGTGAAGGGGTCGGAGTGGCCGACTCGAGATCCGAGGAACGCGGGTTCGAATCCCACCGCCGCTCGACTATTGTGGCGAGCCCACTCGTAACACAAGCTTATTTAGCTTACCACGAGGGGCTAACGGGACTATTAGTAATTTGGGAAATACAAATTGCTAATAATCTTTAAAAAATAAATCATCATCATTTCAGCCATAGGACGTCCACTGCTGAACATAGGCCTCCCCCAATGCTTTCCATGTTGATCGATTGGTAGCGGCCTGCGTCCAGCGCTTCCCTGCTACCTTTATGATTTCATCGGTCCACCTTGTGGGTGGACCTTCCATGGACCATTTCAGAACCTTGCTGCCCCATCGGCCGTCAGTTCTGCGTACTATGTGCCCTGCCCGTTGCCACTTTAACTTAGTAATCCGTAGGGCTATGTCGGCGACTTTAGTTCGTTTACGGATCTCCTTATTATTCTCATACTTTTTATTTTGTTTTTTTTTTTTGTCGCGGAGGATTTGTCGGTCGAGTACCCGGCCAGGCCTGCCTTAGGCCAGGAACGCACTATGCGGTTGGCCGGGATGCGGTTAGTCGTCCGGTTAACTGCAGTCAAAAATATGTTATGTAATAATTTTTATGCACACTATCATGCGGCTGTTTCAATACATATTTTTAACCGGACGGCTGACCGCATTCCGCCTTACTTCCGCGACACCACCGGCATCAGACCTACACTGCGGACCCTACAAATTAGCGCATTTAGCCAAATGCGGATTGTTTAGATTAAGATAAAATGTATTTGCGCTTTTCGTAGCGCCACCCCCGCGCGGAACTAAGTTCCAATTTTCGTTAATAGATGGCGTTGACCGTAATTGACTCGCGCTAACATTTGATTTTTTTCGGACTTTATAGGGTGTTTTGCATAACTGGTTTAATAAAGTTTTTATCAGCCTATGGAAGTTGTGTTATTTAATCGTCTGATGTGAAGTGTGTGAACACGGATAAAGCAATAAAAATTACTCCAAATTTTTCGCCGCGCCACATTTGTAGCATAGCGGGGATTCCTCTCGCCCGATCCTGTGCAGAGAGCACACTGCATTGACTGATAGAGACACTGCACAATGTACTGAATGTAAAAAAACTTACAAAACTCATTTATTTATGCAAGTGGGCTTTTAAAAAGCACTTTTACTCGTTCCAGTATTAACCCTACCACTGCTTCAAGACAATAAATGGGTCAGTGCTGAGAAGAAGCAGCGCAAGAAACTCAGTCACTATTGTCAGCCTTTTTTAAGGGTTTACAGACTTTAAAATATACATAGTTATAAAATGCGAGCTAGGCAGTTAAGCATCCCAAACATTTTTATCTTTTAAATAATCATCGACTTCATAAAACTTCTTCTTAGTCGGGCACTCTTGTTAGAGTGGTCGTGGTTGCGCTGACGAGGTACATGGTGGGGTAATATCATCTCCGAGGGTAGATCTCCTGGCGATGTGCTTCCGCTTCTGACGGTTAGAGGTTTATAAAAGTACTTGTGGTTGTAACAGGAGTTGTTTGTTTGGCAGGTGCTGGAGGTGCCGGTGATCAGCGAGGCGCTGGAGGAGGAGCCGTCGCCCGACGCCGAGCCGCGCCCGCGCCCCGACGAGCCGCCCGAGTCCCGCCGGGTCAGAACCTTTCACTTCTAACTAGCTCTTAACCATAAACTTAATATTCCTTCGGAATAGAGCAACAACCACGAAACCGATTTTAGAATGTTACTGGATGTCATTTATGTGTTAGTTTTCAGGATTATTTCACTGTTTTGTACAAAATCAATCACTGAGCGAGTCACCACTTTTCGAATCACTATTTCTCGTACCTATTTCACTCACGTAAAATCTGAAAAAGTATCAGAACTCACGTTTTCAGCGTGCCAATAAGTGTTAACAAACTGTGAAATACATAGTTGAAAAAAACGGTTCTGTTACGTCGCATCTCACATCTCTTTTTATCACAAAGGGTTGCTGCTAGTGACCTCGGCTCGCTCTCAGTCCTTTGTTGCTCTACTCCGCTAGGTATATTAACTTTATGCTCTTATTGCACTACAACCCGATCGAGCTAACTGCGCAGCTCGCTGGAATGCTACTCTCCCTCAACTAACTAGACCGTCGATGTGACGTCACCACCGCTAGATGCGCAGTTAACTCGACCGGGTTATATCATTGATCATTGATGTTGTGGAAGAGTCATAGTGACCGATATACGAGACGACACTTGGATGAAAAATAGACCCCAGATTGGTAGTCCACGTCAAATAGGTCGTAAACATTCAAAGTAGGTAATCAAAAACGTCGCAACACGTCCTTGTTAAAATTGGAATAAGATAATTATTAAAAGATGAAATTACTTAGCTTAAAATTTCCGCTTGGTGACGCCGGCACAAGGACCCAACTACACTATCACACATGTGCGGACTATTTTATAGAACAAGCTAATTAATGCAAAAAGCACCGCCCCCCTCCCACAAATCGCATGCGACACAGATGTAATAGTTAGTTAGTACCAACACCGACGTGCAAAAAACCTCGACGCGTTTCGCCGCTCCACGCGGCATCCTCAGGTTGTCGCCTCAGATGACCTGTGAAAAAGGTTGTGTTGTCAACTATTTAACCAATCTGAGTGTCACGAACTATTTGACGCTGATTGACTAGCAAGTGTTTGTAATGACAGGCTTGTCAGGCTTGTTCATCTTCCCGAGTACGCATTGAAGACAAAACACCTACGGCATACCCGCCGGCGGCTTTAATTCACAAAAGAATCACGAGCGAGTAGTGAGTGACCTTCGCGCGCGTATTCTTCACCAAAGAAGAAAAATACGGAAAAGTGGCTTCTTGTAAAGTCCTGTCGCCAAGCACGTAGAATTTCGTCCAATGACCCCAAGCTTCCCACCCATCCTTATCGCTTGGGCGTAATTATACAGGGTGTTAGGTAAATGGGCAAATGAGCCGACACTAGCCCATGTTAACATGGTCGTATAAATGGTACGGTGAAGTCAGAAAATTGATATCTTCATTTTAATTATTTTATTTGTCATACAAATCGGATTTTATAAAATTATTTTGTATGAAAATAAAAAAGAATAAAATGATGATATCAAATTTCTGACTTCACCATGCCATTTATATGCCCATGTTAACATGGGCTAGTGTCGGCTCATATACGCATTTACCTAACACCCTGTATTGCTGTCACGCTCGCACACTCACTGCGGCCGCCCGTCGCACATTTGTGTCAGCAATATATTTATGCGCGAGCGATAAGGATGGGTAGCATGGGGTCATTGGACGAAATTCTACGTACTCGGAAATTCGACCGGGCTTTAACTGTTATCCCTATATCGCATCGGTACAGTACAGTACCGTTCACTGACGTATTTAAACGAAACGATGCTTGACTTTGAGATAAGCTAAATTATACGATACTGTTGTCGACATTGAGTAGATATTATTTTAAATACCTTCGCGAAGAAAACTCATTATCCTGTGGTTCTGTTTAACATGTCGTTTTAAGTGAATATTTAATGTGTTTCTAGTCGGGCGTGTGGGCGGGCGACGGCGGGACGGGGTCGGCGGCGCTGCGGGTGCGGGGCGCGGGCGGCACGGGCGGCGCGCGGAGGCCCGCCGGCTTCCAACCGGCCCTCGTGGCCCTCCAGCAGGGCCCGCCGCACCCCGTGGCCGCGCTCACCATCAACTCGTCCTACGGCCTGTGAGTACACACCTGGCCCGCCGGCTTCCAACCGGCCCTCGTGGCCCTCCAGCAGGGCCCGCCGCACCCCGTGGCCGCGCTCACCATCAACTCGTCCTACGGCCTGTGAGTACACACCTGGCCCGCCGGCTTCCAACCGGCCCTCGTGGCCCTCCAGCAGGGCCCGCCGCACCCCGTGGCCGCGCTCACCATCAACTCGTCCTACGGCCTGTGAGTACACACCTGGCCCGCCGGCTTCCAACCGGCCCTCGTGGCCCTCCAGCAGGGCCCGCCGCACCCCGTGGCCGCGCTCACCATCAACTCGTCCTACGGCCTGTGAGTACACACCTGGCCCGCCGGCTTCCAACCGGCCCTCGTGGCCCTCCAGCAGGGCCCGCCGCACCCCGTGGCCGCGCTCACCATCAACTCGTCCTACGGCCTGTGAGTACACACCTGGCCCGCCGGCTTCCAACCGGCCCTCGTGGCCCTCCAGCAGGGCCCGCCGCACCCCGTGGCCGCGCTCACCATCAACTCGTCCTACGGCCTGTGAGTACACACCTGGCCCGCCGGCTTCCAACCGGCCCTCGTGGCCCTCCAGCAGGGCCCGCCGCACCCCGTGGCCGCGCTCACCATCAACTCGTCCTACGGCCTGTGAGTACACACCTGGCCCGCCGGCTTCCAACCGGCCCTCGTGGCCCTCCAGCAGGGCCCGCCGCACCCCGTGGCCGCGCTCACCATCAACTCGTCCTACGGCCTGTGAGTACACACCTGGCCCGCCGGCTTCCAACCGGCCCTCGTGGCCCTCCAGCAGGGCCCGCCGCACCCCGTGGCCGCGCTCACCATCAACTCGTCCTACGGCCTGTGAGTACACACCTGGCCCGCCGGCTTCCAACCGGCCCTCGTGGCCCTCCAGCAGGGCCCGCCGCACCCCGTGGCCGCGCTCACCATCAACTCGTCCTACGGCCTGTGAGTACTGCATATTCTTAGGTACAGAGCCATTCTTCTCAAGAATTGGGATCACCTTGTCGTGCAGATGCTTCAGTGGATGCTTATCTGTGCGACTGAGTTGTCACTCCGTTGTCACTCCCTGATGCTTGGCACACGGGGCGGACCGGGCGAATTGAGTGGGGATTTTTAACAAAGTCAGTGAAGCGAACGGTGGTCTCTACTCTCCGTTTCCTATCAGGATCTGAAAAGTTGTCTCCTAGAGTGAAGTGGCTCGAACAGGTGTTTTTATTTTCATAAAATTAATAAATTTTTTGATTTTTGTTTTTTCTAGTGTATAAGTACCCTAACATTGCAAAAAGAAATGCTGTGTATACCTGTAGTTGAGGTCATATACGCATCATGTGTTAAACCATGTTTAAATGTATGAACTGTATTATGTATGTGACTTTGTAAACCTAATAAATAAATAATAATAAAACATGTGTACCTAATGTAACGATTTCATTGATTAATAGCTGAGTAAATGTTGTTTTATATTACAAAAAGCCAAAAGTGTTGCTCTGAAAAGAGAATATTTATTTTTAATAAACTGCTTTAGTAACAATCACATATTTTACATATAATTAAATACCTGCCTGAAAAGAGAAACAACATTTAAAGCTATTTGCTTCACAATTAAAATATTCCTTAAGTTTTCCGTACAGACGCCATTAAACAAAAACAATCTGTCAAAATTAACTTTTTTTTAAAAACCATAGTGTATCATTTTACTCACGTGCCAGGGTTTGTACGCGGGAAGTTTGAATAACAATGAGGGTCTACAGTGAGTCTCATTACATGTGTTCGGCTCGTCCGTAGCATGGCGTGGGGCGGCGAGCGCGGCATCGTGGTGGCGGACATCTGGCGGCGCGTGCTGGTGTGCGCGCTGCCCGCGCCCGCGCTCTACCCCGCGCCCCGCCACGAGCGCCAGCGCTCGCCCTCGCTCGACCAGGTCAGTGACCGCGCGCGCACCCCCCTCCCCGCGCCGCCCGCCGCACCGCCGGCGCGCCACGAGGTGGCCTCTGACGACCGCGTTTGTTTTGTTTTTCATTTTGGGTGATGACACTTGTTGCGAGTGAGGGTGCAAACATAACACCAGTCCCACTCTCTCTGTTCCAAACACAGATTGCAGGCAAACGACCACACTGACACTAAATAATGTAGTCTGACACTTACGTAAACAAATTATTGAATTTAAATGTTTATTTAACTTAATTTTAGATTGGATTTTTTTTGTTTAATTTAGTTATTATTCCAATCACAAAAATTAATCACATTAATATTATGATGAATTAGAAAACCACAAGAAGCCACTTCGCGGCGCGCGCGGCACACGTACCGACACGAGAAGCGGACAGCCGCTCCCGGCGGCTCCACACACGTTACTTTCATTTGCCTTTTAGTTGTTATTTTGAGTTGCATCGGACCCCCCGATCCCGAGGTAGCGCTAGCGCCGAACCCGGCCAGTCCCGTAGCACACCTGGCATGGCACCGGTAGTCCCCGCCCGCCGTCGCCAGAAGTCCCGGTCGGTTTCAGCGGTCGCGCTCCCGCCCAATCACGTAATCCGTTTCCCGAAGCTGGAGGAGGGCGCGCCCCCCTCCCCCGCCGCCAGCCCCGCCGACCCCCCCGACGAGCCCGACGAGCGCCCGCGCGACACGCGCCGCAAGTCCTCCTCCTGGAAGACCTTCAACCTGAAGCGCCAGCTGTCCAAGGTCGACCTCAAGTTCAAGGCGGCCTTCGCCGCGCCGCCCGAGCCGGAGCCGCCCGAGCGCGCCGAGCCCGCCGCCGACGAGCCGGAGAGGGGCACCTCGCAATTCTACTGCGAGCCGGAGCGAAGCGAGGCTCAGGACGGGGACGCGGGCGAGGCGCGGGAAGCGGGCGCGGGCTCGTCGCCCGACAGCGACGACAGCAAGCCGTCGGAGGAGGAGCGCAGCCGCGCCGCCTCGCCGCTGCGCGCGTCCGACGCCTTCGAGCGCATGCACCGCGAGCTGACCGAGCGCGCGCCCGACGCGTACGACCGCATGCACCGCGAGCTGCAGGCGCGCTGGCAGGAGCGCGAGCCCGGCCCGGAGCCCCCGGTGGCCCCGCCCCGCGCGCGCCGCGCCCCCGCCGAGCGGCTGGCGGTGCCGCGCGCGCGGGGGGAGGCCCGCCGCCGCCGCGCGCCGCCCGCGTCCTTCACGGGCAGCCTCATGCGCCGCTTCAGTGAGTAGCCGCGTCCTCGGGCCGAGCGTAGCTAGACCGACGCGCTGTGACATAGCGTAGCCCGCAGCGGGTGGAATGGTACTGGTTTGGCGTTTTCCGATTCCGTAGTTCCCTTTGGTGACCTAGCAGATTCCTAGCTCCTTAGAGGTGATGGTAGTTAGATTTTTACCGATTCGATTCTTTAAACCGACCAACTAACCGAATGAGTTTTCGCAGATCTAAAACGAACCGTTAACCCGACGCTCGTAGTGGACGGCCGGGGCGGCGCGTGGACGGCGCGGCCCCGGCTCGCTTTACGCTTCTTGTGATATTTGGCTTGTTTATTTTAATTTGTGTGTATCGATTTAAGTTTATTATTGTGTGAATTGCGATCCCCCTATACTATGTAATATATCCACATGTATGATATCTGCACGCGGTGCGACGGAACGTCGACGAGCCCACTCACGTGTCTGTTTTCTATTCCAAGGACAAGGACTCATCCGACGAGGACTCTAACTGCCTAAAATATCTATTCGCGGACTTCCTCGGTAACTGAGCGCCGTTGATGCATCCTAGGTGATCTCTGTGTTGTCGGTGTCCGTTTGCAGCTAGAGTAGCGGGCACGCTTGTAGCGGCGGCGGTAGTTGCTCATGCTCGCCGAGCTGCCATTAGACTACCGCTCGACTAACAAAACCCGAAAACTGGGGCACCAAATCATTCTCATCGGAATCCTCATCCTCGATCGAATTGTACATTTGAATTTTAAAACTTTTTAATTTATCTCATTGGATTTCATGATCGGTCGAATCTGATACAATCGGGTGGATGGCTGCCCTAGTACATGCCCATACATGTCGTGTTCCCAGGGGAGGCCCTAGCGTGGCTGTGCGAGGGCCCCGGCGCGGCGCGGCAGCCCGTAGGTATGACTCGCTGACACTAACACGGGGACAACTAACTCATGGGCTGTAGCTCTCAACTCGGCACAGAGATCACGGTTTCTAACAAGTATCGCGTCGGAGGCTTCTCGAGTTGCAAAAGACTTTCAATTTCTCAAAAATCACATTAACACTTTTTCACATCTCTTCCGAACAAGTTTGAACCGAACCGGCGGTGCAGTCTCTCGCAGCGGCCTCCCGCGCGCTGACCTCTCGTCCGGTGCGTCGATGTCCGGGTGGCCGGCTGGTGTGGGTGGCACGTGTGTGTGTTGTAGATGAACGGGCCGGGCGGCGGGGGCGGCGGGGGCGGGGCCGGCGGGGGGGCGGGGGCGCGGGCCCGGCGGGCGGCGCGCGCGCGGTGCGGCGGTCGCGCTCGCAAGGTACCCGCAAACTGCACAAGTGCCTGTCGACCGCGTCGGACGTGTACGCCGCGCCCCCCGCCCCGCAACACTCGTTGCTGACGACGCGCCAGTATTGCAGTTTTGGTAGTACAGTCACCTTGTCCGCCGACCACGCTCGGCTCGTCCTCTGAAACAGTCGCAGTTTCCTCGCTTTTGGTTTTTTTTCGTTACCTTCGTCTCGTTCGTCGGTGGCTCTGCTCGATTGTTCCGATCTCTCGTAACTTAACGTTTCCTTGAACAGCATATAATGCAGCTTACTCAATAGTATTTCAGCATTTCGTACAACTTAAGTCGTGCTGATTTGGCATTCTGAACTTATCGTCTGAACAGCATGATTAGCTGCATAATTATTACGAGACATAAATCTTCAAATTTTTCACTTGTACTAAATTACTAATATTATTCGATGCTTTGTACTAAAGAATTTTCTAAATAACTGCAAATTTACAATATTATACGGCTTCTGCCATTTGACTAACTTAAAAGAATAATAGTGTATCTACAATATGCTACTAAACATGTTTTGTTTACACCCCTTGTAACATTATGAATGCCTGAGCCTGTCTCAAGAGGCTGTCCATAGTTGCTGATAGTACGGAGGCTCCTCCTCGGACCATCGAACGAACCTGTACTCATTTCTAACTCTTATTTATTACCTTTCTGTTATATTTGGTTCTTCTTTCTGTTTCCATACTACACTGTTTTACTTCCTTCATACTGATACCTACATTACATTTAATGATAGTACATATTGTGAATTTGAAGATTTTAAAGACCTTTTTCCACGATTAAGGTACAGACTTAGCTATAACTAGTATGACTACTATTCTAAAAAGATTTCTTCAAATTCATAATATAGTAAGAAGTTTAAATTTGGTCCTAGACATTCAAAATTGATCATAACTATGCAACTAAATTTCATGAAAGTACTTCTAAATTGGCAATGTAACTAGCGTGTACTAGCACCTCTGTCGGAACGCGACGACATCATGCCCCTTTTGAGTTGCCGCCGCGCATGTGTTACTATTATTTATTTGATCAATTTCCAATTTCAGATCGGAATCATTTAATAGGTAATCATTGGAATATATCACACATTCGTTAATTTTATTTTCTAGATGTTCAGTCCGAGTAGTGTTTTCCTTTGTTTTTCTCCATCGCCGACTTCTGGAATGAGTCCTCAACTTTTAATGGTGTATAATGAATGTGTGTCCATGTCGTGTTGACGGTCCACTCTGTACGCGCGCGAGCGCCGCCCAGCGCGCACGCGGCGCGCGCGGCCACGGACACTCGCGGACACGCGGCACGCGCCACGCGCACGACACGCGCGCGCCACGCGCACGACACGCACGCGCCCGCCGCGCGCGCTGGGTGGCGCCCCGCCTGAATCTCTCCTGGAACATGCTTGTAACATTTGTGGTTTTATTTGTCGGTACAGAACCAACTATTCCGCAGACTCTCGCATCTATGGAGTACTTACACATAATGCAACCCAATGGTATCCGAACATTTGCATCGTTTACTTTTTTATCGTTTTTTATTTTGATTACTTATTGGTGCTTGTCACGGGCTCGCCCTGTACACACGTAGCTGTTACGTATCCGTTAGTCGAGATTGTGGCTGTGACTGTTTTCTCATGTTCCTCTTCTCACGACACTTCGATTGCACTCGATCTATCAAAATTTAAATGGCATGTCTCTAGATTACGTAAAAGGTGACTTACTACTCAAAACTATGCATTTTATAACTATCACTTATTCAGTGTTGCGACAGACGGAATCGATTGTATGTTACATGTGCATAATATAAGCGAGGCTTTCCATATTGTATCAGACACATGATCTATATTTATCATTTACTTGTATTTACATTGTTTCTTGTATTTATTTAAGATTGATATTGAATCACGAGCGATCACATTATATTTATTTGCCTTGTCCGCAACATGGCACTGCTCGCCGCCGGCGGCCGCGGTCAGTACACACGACCCTATGTATGTGACTACTGTACTAATTGAAGCTGTAAAGTACATGATATTATGTTTCTTTTCTAGCTCAACCACAATGCAAAAAGTTTATATGGCTCGTTTTTGGCTGCCTCTATATTCGGCTGTCGTTATGTCTATGTATGCTTACGGTACTCTCCTTACTAACACCTAGTGCATGCTGCCGCCGTCTGCACGCTCGTAGCGCGGTAGTTGCTGTCCGTCCACGCGGCGCTAGGCCGCCGGTAGCGCCGCCTAGCGGGAGGCTTTCGGCCGAGGGCGCGCTTGGCCCTAGCGACTGCTCGCCGTCGAACTCCATAATGATTCACCTTCATTACTTGTTTTGCTCAAATCAGTTTTGGTTCAGACAAATTGGCCGTCGCTTCTCATTGCCGTCTCCATCACTTAGAGCTGTTTATCGATGTGCTAACTTTAAAAATTAAATTAAATCTAACTTTGTGGTGACGGGTGTTTTGGCCGCTTACACTTCTGGGCTCTTAGTACACGAACAGACATGATAACTCACTCGAGTCAAAGCACCTAACCATCAGACATAAAACTTAATAAACCAGAATAGTTTAAAATAGCGAAACATACGTATACAAGAATCGTTGTGTAAATAAGCTGAGATTGGACGGGCATGCAACCCTTACCAAATTTCTTGGCATGTCTTCCGATTTGACCTTTCTCTCGAAGTTTACTCACGGCACCTAACAAGCTGCACCGAGTGGATGATTTCAGCTAATTTCACAACCGCACTTAAACACTGATTTCGTGAGCTACAGCTAGCTTTAGTTTGCAACTACCCTACTCGTAGAGTAGAATTAACACAGCTGGTGACGGGATTTACAAAGTAAAAATGTAATAAGATGTAAATATTAAACCAGTCGAAAGAGATGCAAACCTTTATAAAAATAGTGCCTTTGATGAGTATCGGCTCTTAAAAATGTTATATTAGTAAATGAATATTGCTAGTTTGCATCTCTTGAGTCACCACCGGTGTCGAAAGTCCCCCACCTCACACTGGTGTGCGGGAGGGGACTGCCGGCCGGCGGAGGGATAATGGAGTGTGTTGTCGGTGCGGGCCGCGTAGACAAGCTGGACAGCTCGTTCTCGCGCTCGCGCTCCAGCTCCATGTCCAGCCTGGAGAACATCAGCCAGGAGGGCATCCAGTGCCTCGCCTTCGCCGATAGTTATACGAAAAAGTCAGGTGAGTTGATCTTTACTTTAATCATTCGCTCAAATTTCATTAAAACCAGAAATACGAGCATACTAGTTCTTCGTTTTTGACTTAAATAATATCAACAGACTGCAACGATTTGTATTCGGGTTTTCTTCAAATTCCGGTAGCGGTCCTGCTTGATTATAACTCGTAGTCAATAGTCGTAATCTAAATGTATATTGAGCCACACCACCACCGGACGTTACGTTATACGTAATACGTTCATAGCAACCCTTGAAATGATTCCTGTACTCACTATTTTAAATTCTTGCCTTAAGTGTATACATCGATGATCTTATTCTATCTACGATAGATCCAATGACGCTCTTGCCGACGTTATGGATCGGCACGACGCTGGGCTCCGTGCTGACGATGATGATCAGCCTGCCCGAGGCGGACCTGCGGCACACGCAGCCCGTGGTGGTCTCCACGACTGGTGAGTCACTAGTTTCTACTTTGCTATGCAATTTATTCCGTGAGTAATATTTAAATTTATTACATTAAGAAGTAAAAAATACATACGGGTCGAATTGAGAACCTCCTCCTTTTTTGAAGTCGGTTGATAACCGGTTGCTATTTTTTCAGGTGGACCCATTTTTAGGTTAAAAGGTTCAATCCTGACAATGTCGTTTCTCGACTGTAATGGTGCTCTGATTCCCTATTCATACGAAAGTTGGAGAGACGACAGTAAAGACGTAAGTGGCTTACAGAAGAAATCAAGTATAGACTTTCATTTTTAAGAGGGACTCTTACTTTTACAGACTATGATATCGCGTTACAGGTGCGGGAACGACGGGAACGCACGCCCACGAAGCAGGGCTCGTCCAGCAGCGGGTCGCGCATGAGCCCCACGCCGGGCTCGTGCGAGGGGGCGGGCGCGGGCGCGGGGGACCGCCAGTTCGTGGTCATCGCGTCGGAGAAGCAGGCGCGCGTGGTGGCGCTGCCCAGCCAGAACTGCGTCTACCGGCAGCAGATCGTGGACGCCGACTTTGTAGTCAAGACGGAAATCGTCAGTCTTAAAGGTCCATGCCGTTTAGATTTGCGATTTGAAGTTGTATGATGATGATGAAAATTGGAGATGTGCATGTAATAATTTCACAAAAATACCATTTGCTGCTCTTAATGTGTAACTTTTAGTTTTGGACATGGTTTTGATATGATAATCTTGTGTTAAATTATCTGATTATTTTCGACTTCTATCTGAATGTACAGACTAGCGACAGCTTTAACTCTTCTCGCGCCTTCTTCCAGATAGTGTATGTCTCGTCAATTACCTGTCGACCGGCCACCTGGTCGCGTACAGCCTGCCCTCCCTGCGGCCGCTCGTAGACGTTGACTTCCTCCCTCTCTCAGAGCTTAGGTGAGTCCCGCTTCGTACTCTCTGCTCCCCGTCTGGTCTCATTCAATCTTGACATGAACACTCGTCAACTCGCGCCGCTTACACTATTCCGGATTGGTGCTGTAGCCGCCCCGGTCGGCCGCGTGTTCATGTCACGAGTGGGTGCGTGTGTGAAGAGGCCGCGGCCCGAAGTGCGCGCTCGAGCTCGACACGTTATTGTCCCGTGACACACCGATCACTATTAGACGATTCTATGCACCAAACGAAGGCACTAAATGATAAACGGCTTGTTTTATATTAGAATTTTTATCCATTTTTAGCTTTGCAGTTTTGTCCGTATGAGAATGCTGATTTAAGCTGACGATGTGTCTCATTTTTCGGATTCTCCATTCACATTTTTGGTCATCCACCGGAGATCATACTTTTTACGATCATTCGCTATTTTATCATTTGGGAGCCTAACGACAGACTTCCTGTACCTTACGATCGATGTTAGAAAAGTAGACTTGTTTGGTGCAAGACGAAACGTTTAGAAATTCACGTGACATCCCATTTTCTTTACTTAATACTTTAATATTTTTACTAACTAGCGTAACTAGCGAATCGAAGTTTTGTACCAAACAAGCAACGGTGTCATCTTCTACTTCCGACGTCGAGCACTCTGCTAGAGGCTACCGGCTATTTCCGATCACAAAGTAGACAAAATTTTGCAATTCTTCCAAGCACCACCTGTGCTTCCGATATTTGGCACTCTTTTATCTATTTTTCAGTTCGAAAATCTAATTGGACAACCCGACACCACACACCCGGAACAAAGCTTATCCTGATGATATGAGAATACACCGTTTCACTTTCTAACTTATATTCTACCTTTGGTGCTAGAAGAATGATGTTTCTCTGTATATACACTGTTAACCCTTTAGTCACTACGAATGTAACATACTAATTATTAACCCAACCGAGCAAGCTCCGAATGCGCCCGGTAGTTCCGCGGCTTGCAGCGACTAGTAGCCCCGTGTACTAACCCCGCCGCGGGGCGCGCGGTGCCTGGCGGGCCCCGCGTGCCTGCCGGGCCCCGCGTGCCTGCCGGGCCCCGCGCGCCCCGCCGCGCCCACTGACGCCGTCTGTGTTCCTGGTAGCTTCCAGACACAGACCAAACAGAGGGGTATCGTAGACCCAATGCTCTCCATATGGGGCCAACAACTCATTGTAAACGAGGACACGGACCAGTAAGTCATTGTCCATTCCGATGACATGCGTTAGCCATGTACCGTCACTTGTAATGTGGAGTCGCTCACTCCGGCCTCTGTTGCGATCCTTAGACATGTTTGTTCATGTACTTTCACGGCTTCCCCTACCCCTCCCCTGTTATGTCTACAGTACCTTACCGTCGGCGAGGGCGAACCATACGCATTGCGCGATAGGGTTGCGACGTGCGACCGTCGGGCGAGTATATGCGCGATAGACTTGCATCACTTTGTGCGTGCGCAGTGCTGATGGTTCCTCTCGCCGGCCGCTGCCTGCAACTCTGCTTGGTAGACCCTGTCCCCGGCCGTCTACTGCGACACACCCATACAGCCACACTCACGACCACACAGCACACTGTACTATCGAACATACACTGTTGATCTTACTCTCTACTCAGTCTACTCTACGACTCGCTTCTCTCTCGCTACTTCGTTTGCAGTCGACTCCGACGCTTGGCATGCGCGCTTCTGTTTCCGTCTGGTAGTATCTTGGATGTTTTCGTCAGTTTCCTTTCATTGTTTAGATGACTGAATCGAGACTTCAGTACATAACGTCCATAGTAAATGTTAGCGCTTACATGTTAGATATTAATTTTGTCCAATAGTATTCATTGAAGGAACCGAAGGATGTTCAAAGGTGAGACGTTTTAAATAACACTGTCTATTAGATCTCTCGATGCTATTCTAACTTTCTTGTCTTCTTAAAATTTGAAAACTTCTTTCTCGTTCACTAACAATGATTAACAAATCAAATAACAAAATTAATCAAGTAATACCTACTTAATAATGAGTTAGCGATTCTCGTTGCTCATATTTCCGATTCTGAAGACCGTATTAATGAATTGACCTCGCCGGAATCTAGCAACGTACAAAGAATACGTTCTGCTGAGATAAGCTCACTATGGAAGCTTGAGCGCTGCATGTTTGACTCCACGAGGTCAGTTCATGAATACCGGCGGCGGCGCTGACCGCGCTCACGTTGCAGGACGGCGCGCACGTTCTGCTTCAGCAACCGCGGCCACGGGCTCTACCTGGCCTCGCCCTCCGAGGTGCAGAAGTTCACCATCGACGCCGAGTTCTGGTGAGCCACTTTACTTTCTCCGATGCATGCCTCTTGGAAATCCTTGTTTCTTACCGATCAACTTTACATTGAGCATCGTGCCATATTTTAAATTTTTGATATGAAAGCTTCAAGGCATTTAAAAAATAAACTTTTCCGTCGCAGACATACATAAAAAGAGTACCTACCTAAAAATCTGTTAATTTTTAGGTAGGTACTCTTGAAATAGACATTAAATCTACTGCACAAATAGTTCACAATATTTACGTAACTGATTGGATATAACTAAGACCACCCGCGTAGGAGAATAATAAAAAGATTTTCAATGGTATCGGTGTCGAATAAAAGAAAAAGAGGTTGGAAAGGATTTTCTGGATTCCAAACGTAAACGAAAAGATAAACTTTTATTTACTACCCACAGCCTCTAGACCATTGGTTCCCCAACTTATTTGAGACGCGCCCCCTTTCGACCGCTGAGTGAATGCATTCCATACTGCTTGATAATCTTGACTGGAGGAGGGGGGGGCACGGAATTTTTTGTATGGTCGAAATGGGGCGCGTCTCAAATAGTTTGGGAACCAATGCCCTAGACGATCGATCGAGCGCTTTCTAAAAGTCTATTTGTAGAAAATAAATAACTTAGGAATTGTAGGTAGGTAATTGTAAAATAATGATACACAACTTAGTGTTAATGAAAGTGAAACTCAAGTGCAACGTGTGTGTTGCAGCCAGCAGCTTAACGAGATGCTGGGCGAGCTGTTCCTGCCGCGCGACATGCCGGAGCCGCCCAAGGAGTCCTTCTTCCGCGGCCTGTTCGGCGGCGGCGCGCGCCCGCTCGACCGCGAGGAGCTTTGTGAGTCGCTACTTCATTTATTGCCTTTATGCGCAAATTGTCAAATTCGCAAATTGTCAAGCGGTCGCAATCTGCCAAATTCGCAAAATGTCAAATACGCAATATGACAAGTTTTAAAAATTTCCAGTTTTAATAATAAAAGTCAAGTAATTAATTGGCAAAACTTTTAATCATTAAAATGTTAAGGTTTTTTAAATATGAAACCATAAAACCGTAATATAAAGACATTTTTAAAACTTGAAATTTTTCGAATTTGCGCATTTGACATTTTGCGAATTTGGCAGATTGCGACCGCTTGACAATTTGCGAATTTAGACATTACTAAATTCTTAAGGCAGCGCTTCACGTCGCGACATAAGACAAGAGACCGGCGACGGAAGACCGCGAGCGCGACCGTTACTTGAGGTATCGATCTCCCGTCTCGGTTTGGCTCGCAAACTTATGCATTGCATAAAATCAAGCAACGATCGTTGTCTCCTGTCTCGGTCACTTTCTGGGTTCGGTGGGTTCTGGGTTCGCGAACTACCGCCTATAGTATAATTTAGGCCACTCGCCCATTTAGCTTCATCTTTACAACAATTTTCCTCTTTTAATAGTTTATAGATTTCTTTCCCCTCGCTTTGACTGAATTTTCTTGCTAAGCTAAATAATTCGACTCGGGTGGTAACACATTTTCCGGTACAAAGCCTCCACTATAGAACCATTACTGCCCCATCGGCCGTCGCGTCAGTTCTGCGTACTATGCGCCCTGCCTATTGTCACTTTAACAATCACGTACCGGAAAATGCAGCGTGAGACGTCGACGACTTATAAGAAAAACTTGGGAGACGTTGTTGTTGGTATTTGTATTTTCACACGCAGGCGACCGATCGATGAAAAGCAGCACAGATAGATGTAGGTTACGCCACCTATGGTTCTTTGTGTGAATTAGCTTGTCCCGACTCCCGGTAGTTCAGTAAGAAAGAAAGGAAGAATCATGGCGCTTTACAAACAGTTGCTTATAGATGGCGCTCAATATTGGTTTAGAACAGTAGCAGGAAGGCGCTGGATGCAGGTTACTACCAACCGGGCGATGTGAAAATCATTGGGGGAGGCCTGTGTTCAGCAGTGGACGTCCTTTGGCTGAATTTATGTGCTACTAGCTGACCCGGCGAACTTCGTACCGCCTTAGCGTAGAGATTTTCTTAATATTTTTTTCCGTAAGAACCATCCTTGGACTTCCACAAACATTTTAAAAAAAGAATTATCGAAATCGGTTCAGCCGTTCACACGTGATGCCGTGACAACGCGAAACGGGTTTCATTTTTATATATATAGATGTAACCACTCTGTATTTGTGCAAGTAAATAATCTGTTCAGTCGGCCGTTTGGTGTAGTGGTTCGAAACGGACTACTATTCCGGAGGTTGCGGGTTCGATTCCCGCACAGTACAAACATTTGTGTGCATGAACATATTTGTTTGTATTGGACTGGGTGTTTCCTATGTATAATAAGTATGTATTTACAAAAAAAAAGTATTTAAGTATGTTTATATCCGTTGTCTAGTACCCATAGTACAAGCTTTGCTTAGTTTGGGACTAGAAGTGCAGTGTAAAATGTCCAAGGATTTTTTTTTTATGTGATAGGAGGCAAACGAGCAGACGGATCACCTGATGGTAAGCAATTGCCGTCGCCCATGTACACCCGCAACATCAGTGAAGTCACAAGTGCGCTGCCAACCTTTTAAATCCCATTCCCCCCAATTGGGCCTCCGGTATCCTCACTCACTCGGCGAAACACAGCGCAAGCGCTGCTTCACGCCGGTTTTTTGTGAGGCCGTGGTATCACTCCGGTCGAGCCGGCCCATATTTATTTATTTATTTATTATTATGTTCGGGTCGTCGTTTCCAGTCGGCGAGAGCAGCGGGCTGAAGCCGAACCGCACGGTGGCGAAGCACATCCCGGGGCCCACCGAGCAGCTGCAGTCGCTGAACGCGCGCGCGGGCACCGCGGCCGGCGACGTGTCGCGCGCGCACCAGCTCGTGCTCGAGCGCGGCGACAAGCTGTCGCAGCTGGAGGACCGCACCGAACGCATGCACTCGCAGGTAACACTTTTGGTCGAAACCACTGCCGACTGCAGTAATCCAGTAAAAAGTGAATTTGACCGAGGGCATCAATCGGTCAAAAGTGGTTTTGACTTATGCCTTTGGTCAATATCACTTTTGACCGATTTTTCCAGTCAAAAGTGGTTTTGACCGATTATGAGTATTGACTGTAACACTGATATTTGATTGAAAACAGATTCAAATTTGACAGTTTAAATCCGGATTTGGATTGAATGTGGGAAACGAGCGATAGTCTGTCGACCTATAACGATCGGCTCGTGCCAGTGTTGCCACAAAATTTTAATATTTACGATAATGTCGATTTATGATGATGATTTCTGAGTTATTTTAGGCCCTATATCGACCCTACAGCTCGCTGACCGATGAACGATGCACTCGTTACTCTTTCGAGGTCCAGACGACGATGAGCAGGCGCGTGTCCCTGGCATTGAATGACCTAGAACGCTTTCTCGCCCCGACGACATCAACAGTCGTGCTTTGATCTCTATGTCCAGCGTCTCTCTAGCTGCGATATTCTTGCACGGCTTAAGGTTCGGCCAAACCAACGCGATCACACGCGATCAGCCGGCGTGCAGCGACCAGACTTAAATGCATTGATCGCCATCGCTGCACGTCGGCTGATCGCGTGTGATCGCGTTGGTTCGGCCGAACCTTTAGATCATGAACACATTATTGATGCCGCGTGTCCCACAGGCGCACGAGTTCTCGTCGTCGGCGCACCAGCTGATGCTGAAGTACAAGGACAAGAAGTGGTACCAGCTGTGAGGCGCGGCCCCACGAACTCTTTAGTGACGTGCGTCGCCTCCACCTGTATAAAGTATTAAGTGAGTAAAGGATAAACTTAAAAAGATTGGAAATTTAAGCATCGGATGACAATAATTTTTGTTACTCTACGCCGGTGGTTTCTTTTACGCTTCCCGGCGCCCCCGGGGCCCGGGCGCGGGCCCGCGTGCCGAGCGGGCCCCGGCGCGGGCCCGTGTGCCGAGCGGGCCGCGCCGGTCGTGTATCGCAGCAATAATCGTTTCCGCGACGTCGTCGCCGCTTGTTCGTATCGTTGTCCGGTCCTTCCTCGCCTCGCCTTACTTAAGCTTCGACTTTTATACTCTACTATAGAGACTATAGAGATGCTAGTTCAGTTCGACTGCGCGTACGCTTAGCGATCGGGTGTGACTTCGGCCGTGTGTCGTATCGGATGCCAAAGGTCTCGACGCTGTCTCAGTTACCTCCCGTTGACTCGTACCTGTCCGAGATTGTAATCGCATTTTATTTAGATGTTTCGCGAGTGGTCTAGTTCCGCTGTGAGCCGACAGATCCGTCGAGTCTAGTGTTAGTTCCGCGCCGCCCCGTGACGTCGGTGTCGCCGCGTTTTAACCAGATTATTTTGTACGGAGGTCTCCCGGAGACGGATATTTTCGTATCGTTCCTTGTCCCCGCGCATATCAGACTATATCACGTAACTAATGTCGGGCTGGAGCTCTATCACTGGCTCGTATAGTTTTGAGACGCGTTACTGCGTTTTCTACCTAATCACGATAAGATAAAAGTAGTTTTTTCATTTCGCAATCACCGTACGTTAAGACTCCACGGAGTTTCGTTTCATTAACATTGTCACATACTTCATTCTGTGTAGGTGACCGCTAGCATCCAGCGTACGTACGTTTTATTAATATTTATATTTTTAAAGAATTTTACGCAAAAAGTATTGTTGTTTGTAACTTAAATAACATAGTTTATGAAATATTTATTTAGATCGTCGTTCTGTAATAGATTTGACGCAGTGAGCCAGCATCGCGCTCTCGATTATAGAAATTGTAATTTGCTCTCTCGGTACTATGTATGCTCAAGTCTTATAATATACCTATATAGCACTGTATTTATAAGGAGAGGTAATAAAATAAAATAATATAAGAGTTTCACGATTAGAATTATTGGCTAAAATGTCAATAAATATATTTCATGTGAATACCTAGATAATTTGTTTTTTATAAAATACACGACTCGAGTGACGAGTGTGGGTGGCATCACAAGCAGAAAAATTATTAATTTCGGTACACAATGTTTTATTTTGATTAATGGCAATTTTGTCTACAGTTGTATGCGTTCTGCCACCTGCACTCGGTAACACCTGAGCGGCATGTTGAGATTAAATCATTGTCCTCAGAAGTGCGGCGAGGTAGAGATGTATCTAATAATAGTTTAGGTTAAGATTATAACGGGCCTGTTGTAAACCAATATTTAGCGCCCTCTATTTACTTATAAGCAACTATTTGTAAAGCGCCATCTATGGTTTTTCTTCCTTTCTTACTGAACTACCGGGAGTCGGGACAAACTTATTCATACAATGACCCATAGATGGCGCTACATCTGTGCGTGCTGCTTTTTATCGATCGGTCCGCACGGCCGTTTACAATTCAAGTTCGATAAATAAGGAAGGATAGATTGCTAACTTGAATCGTTAGATGGCGTTACTAGGCTCGGAAAAATAATAAGTCCAAATCGACAAAATGACATATTTTAGTGTTCAGTGGGTCTAGACAATGTGCACATTTTAATCGCAAACCAGTCGAAAAGTGGTCGAAAAGCTTTTTTCGTATGGAGTTTTGACGGATTCGATTTTCGATTCGATCAAAAAGTGCACTTTGTCTAGACACACTGACTTATTTGAAAAATCCAATTTCATATTCAACTTTTTCTAACATCTGACACAGTTTTATAGTTGATTTCCGTAAGCTGCTGCTAGGCTGTAGTTATAATAAATTCCGTTAGATGGCGCATATTATGTAAATAACTTGATAAAATATTACCGAAACAGCAGATTTTCACCGATTTGAAACTATTGATTATTGGTTTTTATCACTCGGGTGACATTTCAAAAGCGATATCCTGTAGAAATTACGTTAAGTAAGTTTAAACTAAGCACATTTCAATCTTTCAAATATTTAATTCTGGTCGTCACATCAAATTTGTTTTTTTAACTGTTCGGTAGTTGGCACTAGTTACAGCACACTTCAACCAGTAAAGTAACGCCATAATTATAAGTCGGAATACAAGGTACTGGCGACGATAATAATAAGTTTTACGCGATGTTTTTACCAATATATGACGTTAGCAATATATCCTTCCTTATTTATTTATAGTATAGATGAACTACACTGAACTGTCCCACCAAACACATTGACAGGGGGGCGCCACCATCGTTCAACTTTATAAGTTTCCAACGTGGCAAGAATCGGAACCAGGGAATCCAGCGATCCGGTATTGACAGTGGCGCCCCCGTGTCAGTGTCACGGGGTGGGATAGTCCGGTGTATAGAAAGCGTGGAACGAGCCCTGTTGTGAAACAACAATTGGCGCCCTCTATTTACTTATAAGCAACTGTTTGTAAAGCGCCATTTGCGGTTCTTCTTTCTTTCTCACCGAACTACCGGGAGTCGGGACAAACTAATTCATACAAGGAACCATAGATGGCGCTACATCTGTGCGTGCTACTTTTTATCGATCGTTCGGCACGGCCATTAGATGAACTGTGGGACAGTTCAGTATAGTTTACTTGACCGTGCGGACCGATCGATAAAAAGCAGCATGCACAGATGTAGCGCTATTTATGGTTCCTTGTATGAGTTTGTCCCGACTCCCGGTAGTTCAGTAAGAAAGGAAGAACCATAGATGGCGCTTTACAAACAGTTGCTTATAAGTAAGTAGAGGGCGCTAAATATTGGTTTACAACGGGGCCCGTTCCAGGATTTCTACTTTCTCTTCCTCTCCCAATTGAAAATGAGAAAGAGAAGTAACCGCCGTGGTGGGCGGACCCGGCTGCCTCGCCGGCGTGGAGGGGCGCGAGGGGGCGCGGTGCTGGCGCGTCGAGGACGTTAAGTTTACTCGATTCTATTCCTTGTTACTAGAGTTGATATGAGGTTGCATTTAGCCGACGAGCGCGTTACGTTCACCTAATATTATTACGCAACGAGCGATGTTCCATTTCAGACGCTGACGATTCATTTGGAAATTATGGGACTAAATTAAATAATAAGAATTGTAAATAAATAATAAAACTTGTGGCAAATTATTACTTGTTAATCTGTAATAATCGTAGTTCATTTCAACATTATTTTGTATGGATTAGACGACTGTCTCTTTTTTAATCGTTCGAAAATGAGGAAATTATTAAACTATTACTATACATATTGTATATAAAGGATGCTGTTGAATTATATTGATTATTTAGTTTGGTAGATGATTATAGTCATTATATATAAATAAATTATGAAAATATGATGAAAATAAAATTATATCAAAATATTACCAGGAACGCTTTATTTACCGCAACCCCGTAGCTCGCACTGCGTTATTGATGAATGAAAACGCAAGCCTATTGAGCAACTTTTTTAATAAAAACTTTTTAACTATGATATAATATAAATACAATACATTACGAGCATTTATTATGTCTCGGGCGAGTCGGGGCTCGGGCGGCCCCGCAAGGCACGTTGTCGTTCGCGGCGCCGCGAGCTGCGCCAAGCTTCCTACGTCTCCGCCTTCATACAAATTTACAAACGCTAATATAACCACAAACAATTCAACTATTGACATTTTAAAGACAACAAGTCTTTTTTTTTTCTATTTTAAAGCCGGTCCGGTTACAGTTTTGTAAATTTCTATAAAAGGATGAGATTTATTTACATAAGAATCGCACAAAGCGAACGCGTTGTGACAAAACACAGCGGAGACGCTGTGGTCAAACGTTCGATTGAATGAACTATGAACCGAGTGATGAATACAAACTAATACCGTACAGAAACGTTGAAAATAAAAGTAATACAAAAGGTTATCTTATTATAAAATAACACTGAACTAATACATGATTGACACTGGAGAAAATATAACTACGACTTGTCACTAATAATAAAATTGCACATAAAATGACGCGAACGTTGGCCGGCGCAGGGCCGCGGCCTTGCTGCGCCGCTCGTCACAACTACAGCTGGGATTGCCTGACATTATATTCTTGCCAATTGGATTTAAACAAAGTGGGTACATAAATTATTATTAGTCTCAACAAATTGAAAATTATCACACAGACAGACAATCCGAGTGTAGTTTTATACGATTTAATACTTAAAAAAGCAATACATCAGGACGGTCGCAGTTCGCCGAAGGTCGAAGACTGAATGTGTAAGTATGCAAGAATGTATATCACAAAATCGTCCCGTGCCGTCGGAGGGTAAGCAACACCGAATCAGCGTAAAAAGGATCACAAATACTATCACACTCGACCGATACAAAACGCTAGTATATTTCGCTACTACTTCTAACTCGAATATGTATTTGTAAATAGATCGGTTGTCGGGCACCGGGCGAGAGCGAATCAAGAGATAAAACAATCCAAATGCAGATCATATTTGGGGAAACTAACATCACAGTCAATTTTAATAGTTTTAATATAGTACATAGTGTTGTCTTAATGACATGGCGTATCGATGTCGCCCGCAGCCCGACGGCGCCCTATACAGTGCGGTTGCAACACACAGAAGGCGACGCTAGCGCCACGGCCGACGCTGCTCCCACGCGACTGGCGGTGTACTGTGTAGCGCGGCGACACGCGACAGCTACGTCACGCGTCGCGTGGACGCGGCGTCTGCGCCGTGGACCAGTACAAACATGGATAACAAAGTTAATTTATATAAAAAATTTGGTACGGGAACTTGTACATAGATAGTAAGCAATTTATACTTCATTATATTTACAATGTCATTCGAGACTAATCATGCGTATGCCTAATATATTAAACTTCAAAATATGTTTATTTTCTTTTCAGTGAACCTTCTAAAAAGCGTAGGCATTCGCAAGCATCGTCTCGAAAATTACAATAATATAAAATTTTACAACAACACCCGATGACAACTATTTGCACTAATACAATGTAAGTTTCACAGGTTTAAATGCTAACAACTATAATACTAAGGTTCAGGGACAGTGTTCCCTCAACCGAGGTCGCGTCCGCCGCAGGACGGCCGGCCGATATCGGTGGTGCCCATAAACATTGAGTTTGGCAATGTTTATGCATCCATGATATACGGGTTTTGTTCGTTCGACGACCAATGTATTCGACCGGTAACCGAGTCCTTCTCAGTCGAACACGCAGCAATAAACGCTTGAATATGTTTATTCATCTTTAAACTATGCTTTAAGCTCCTACGTTTGTTAGTCTTATCAAATCAAATCAGCATTCCTGATCGGTCGACGCGCAGACGCGACCCGTTTGCAAACGTACACATGAAGCGATACAGACACTAACAATAGGTACAAACATGTGGGTACATACAAAACCTTACATTTAGCACCTTCGAACGCGGCCGCGCCGCCGACTTGCAGAAAGCCATATAACCGTATCTGTACAAAATACATTCTGTAGGAGCCGACTCCCCGACGGAGCCAGCCCGGCCTGGAGACGGCGCGGCTCTGCGCGCTCATCACATTCGTTACAATCACCGATCACATACACTTACTGATATTTTAAATACATTTCATGGAAACCGATTATAAAGCACTAATTAAAATTCTAGATTAACATGAGTTTATTATGATGCCTGTATTAAAACGACGTACAGTAAAGTCTCTGGCGCGCAGGAGGCGCGAGCCTGGCGCGGCGACAGCGCGTCGTCAGTTCCCATGTCATGTGACAGCTGGCTGCGGGAGCCGCCTGTCAAATGGCATCACAGAAGTCACGCCTGCGCTCGCGCCGCCTGTGCGGGAGGCATGAAGCTCGCATAACGCTGCATATTAAAATTAAGTATCGCCTACCTACTCGTTTTGTTCTGTGAAAAATTAAGTTTATTTGCACGCAACGATTTGTACACATTTACAAAATTAAACATTACGATATGAATTTACAATATGTTTAGGAAACTTTGAAATGTGAATACTTCACTATCGACAGTCGATTTCCGAATTCATAAACCGAAACATCACACGGGAATGGAAACGAGACCGTCAACCAAAAAACAGATTAAAATGATTTCTTCACACATCTTCAACACCTAACTGCGCATAGATGTGCGCTCGATAAGTACAAGATGAATGATTTGAATCTGTACGCTTAAGTCTCGTGTCTGTTCCCGTGCTTAAAACACGACGAATTTTATTCGAACAAAACCAACTATTCATTCTCATAAAGACTATTCGTTAAACGAACGAAACGAATATCACCAAATTTAGAGAAAGTTTACTTAGTTATAAAAAAAATAGTTTTGGCACTCACCAACGCAAAAACTAAAACCCACCCAAATTAAAATGGAAACGAAAAAATACCAAAACGGACAAGAAGAAAAATAACACGAATTTCAGAAGCAGTTTGATAAAAAAAAGTTCAATCAGAGGGCTGTGTGATGATAAAATTATATTTTTCGGTTTTGTATGCGGTTATTGCCAAGTCATGACTGCCGAGATATGTTCAAACTAGAGCTAACGAGTGCCGAACAGATCTGTGGAGGATATGCATTAATTACTAACTCTACACACTGCTCGATTTCAATCATCTTCGGGATGAAAGGCATTTGGGACAACCCTGCGTCTATATGTTTAAAAAACAAGGCAAATTCTTGTCAATGCTATTTAAATTTTCTGCGACCTTGGCACATACGTCTATGAATGAATCATGTATGAATCATGACCCATGTAAGTACTTAAAAAATAAGTTTGAATCCGAACTGAATTGTTTTAAGTCAATGACAAATGTGAGAAATCTTTTCATATCCCAAATCAACGGGCACGGGAGTACAGTGAATTCGGAATCACCAGAACACTCACATTGACATGGTTATTACAACTAGAGTATAGTAACGACCGCACAAGTTTATAGCTCTATTAAGAAATAATTAAAATTAGACTTTGAAAGTTAGTTTGTGACGAGTGAATGTTTTTCTTTTGTGTAATCTTGGCTAGATGTGGGAATGTCAAGTATTCTTTTAGGTTACAATATCTACTATCGTGCGATCGTACTTTCCGACGCCGCTGCCACGAAGCCTCACAACGCAAAAACTAACCAGTGCACTAACCACCGAATACTGCGGTGTCGTGGGAGCTATCGATATGTCAACTGATATCTAAGTCGATATGGGAGCCCGAGCGCGTGGCCGCGGCGCCGCCTACACACTACGCTACAATAGAACAACTAATACACTTAAGATAAAACAGTAACTTTAGGTACGGGGATAAGGCTGCTCTCGTGGTGAACCACCGTCGATGTACATTCACTACATATACAATTGGCAACGCCATCAAATTGAATTATCAATTGAACTCGTTAGAAATTATCGTAATAAAATACTAGATCAACTTATATTACACGAATTGACACAAAGAGTGTCGATATTTATGTAAAATCTACACTTTTGTATGCACTTCAAACAGTTCACCAATTTAAAGTTTGTACTGAATAGTAATAAAACGGCTAAATTAGGTAATCGCCTCGCTCGTCGGCAGGAATTTATTTTCCTCGTCCGCTAACCGAGCGAGCGCGCGGCTCGCCGCATCGCCTTCGAGATCTATTTATTATCTCTCAAACATACTTTTAAAATGTTATTGTGTTTGATAAACAAGCTTATAACATCTGTGCATAGGAAAATGAAAAAAAAGTTGCCAACATTAATAAGAGACCCCTAAGGCTGAGTTGCACCACCTAACTTTGGCCGTAATTATAATATTAACCGATGCTCTGTGTATAGAAAGAGTTTGACAGACTTTTGACGTTTGTCAAAGTTAAAGTAAGATGGTGCAACCCAGCCTTAGTCAACAACACCAAAGATACTTCATGATTAATAAATTCATAATAAAGGTGAAAAGTAAACGCACACGCCACGACGCGACGCCGCCACCTGGTGGTAGCTGCGTGTTACGTACAGTATAATCACACGTGCGTCGCTCACATCACAGTAATAATAACATAATTACATTGACCGACGCTACACGACCCCACAGGGCCGGCTTCCACCGAAAGCTAATATTACACAAAATTGGATAACAATCAGAGATTTATTTTTGGTTAAAATTGCAAACCGCAATGTCCGTTTGCTGGTGGAAAGCAGCCCTTACATGCGTCATCTCATCGGCCAACTATATTGCACTATACAATTCGAACGGAAAAGGAATGAAGTGATCGCATTACCTTATAATATACAATTCATTTAGGTTTTATTAATAAATTATACAATAATAATTCCTTTATCCGAAATAAAGCTCGTCAGTTGACCGTGTTCTACGTGGACACCACATACGAAAGGTAAAGCTCGATTCATTGCCCAAAGTAGACGATTCGTTAATATAAGTAGATAATTATGAGTAATGAATAAAATGCTTTATATGGCTGGGTTACATTTGACATTAGAGTTTTGCAGAAAGAGAGCGGCATGATTCGCTTTGTACTCCGTTTCTTGCCGCACAAACTAACCGCATACCCTACATCACTGCATGTGTTAGGTAGAAACATGAAAGTACAAAATATTATGAATATGAGTGCTATTTCAAGAAATACACATCACACATCAAACGATTCTGAAACGTCAACTAATAACCCAGTATCAACTCCTATCAACGTCACAGCTGGGACGGTGCAGTGTTGGACAACTATACTGGTTAATATAGTAATAAGCTAGCAGACTTGAGTCCGCCAGTAAGGCTGAAGTGATGGGTGATGTGCATTTCTGGAGTTCTGCCACAGCCACACAGCGGGAGGGAGCTGCGTGGAAGAGGACGGAACCTCTGTTTCAGTACGCGCGTGAGGACTGACGGAAGGAACGTTTCAGCTGCAGGTTTATTTACACTATACTCGATATTAAAAATACATCAAACAATGACACAACATGAAAAGAAAATACAAAGACGCTATCTCGATAACGACAACATTCATATCTCTTTCGCTATAAAAACGTAAGAGCTTATAAATTTGACCAAACTATGATTTCAGTGAACATAATCAACAAAGTTTACGTTCAATCAAACACTTACAGTGATACCGAGAACAACGCTAATAACGGACTAAAAGGAAGACGCGTCTCCAAGCGGAGAGCCGGAGAGCTGGTACTGGGAAACCTGCAGCGCGGTGAGGGGTGAGCGGAACTAATAGTCGGGCGTCGGATCTACTTGACTTGGATCAATCACCTGTCCTCGCTGGCGGCCGGCGGGCTGGGCGGCGCGGGGGGCGCGTCCTGCGGCGAGGGGGGGCGGGGCTCCTGCGGCGCGGGGTCGTTGACCTCCACCGAGGGCGGGGCCTCCTGGGCGGCGGGGGCGGGGGCGGGCGGCGCGGGGTCGTTGGCCTCCTGAGACGCGGGCGCAGGATCGACGGGCGTCGGAAGCTGGGGCCGGTCGGTCGACTCGGGCGCCTGTTAGATTATAGTTTACGTTAATTTATCTGTGTATAAACACAGAATAATAATAAGTACTACGTACAAAAGTTTTACTTCGCGAAGGTATTTAAAAAAATGTATGCTCAATGTCATTAACAATATGGTGTAATTTAGCCTGTCTCAAGAGTCAAGCACCATTTTGTTGACAAACGTCAGTGATCGGCACTGCGCCGAAGCTATAGGGCTGACTTCGGTAAAATGATGTGACGTGAGGTGCCAAATTGCGGAAAATGGTAGAGGAAATACATTATTTACCATGAATTATCATGAATAATATTAACTACTTATTTACCTCTCAGTGTCTTGAGGCAACTTAAAAAAGTACATTCTGTGCTTTTATTATTATTTAGGCAGTTAAATACTGCACAGTATTTAGTACAACATTTTCTTTATTTTCTTCCATCATACACAAGAATACGCGTGCGTGAGTCAATGTTCGCTCGTATGTGAGGCCTTGTCGAATAGTATCCTGTAGGTGGGCCATCGTGCGTGTTTTTAGAACAAACCCACAAGAACACCACAAGACTGAAAAGATGGCAAATACTACAGTTGAACCAAAGATGCTAGTAGCTTGGACTGAATATTGGAAGCCTGGATTAGATTGCTACGTGAATGAGTGAAGACCGAGAGAGAGAATTTACTGAAATACCCCTCCTTAAGAACACAAAAAAAAGCAAAACAAAACATCTGATTATGACCCAAGTCGATTGAAAATATAAAAAGGAGAAAAAAAATGTACAAAGACGACTTTCCTACTTCATGTAGAATGTCGAAAAAAATGCAAGATTGAGTTTATATTTCCTACTAGCTATAGCGACTCGCCCCGGCTTCATATGGGTGCTGAGTACCTATACATAATAAACCTTCATCTTGAATCACTCTATCTGCTAAAAAAAACCGTTGCGTAGTTTTAAAAATCTAGGCATACATAGGGACAGCAGGAAAACGACTTTGTTTCATAAACGTAGTGAACGGTGATAATGATTATTTTACACTTCCCCAGATGTCTGGACCGATCCTACAAGTGAGAGTCCTGCTATAAAACATCTACAAACTAAATTACATTTTAACAGATGGAAACCTCTATAAATTATAACGTCATTTTGAATTTTAATATGAAACAGTCTACTGCATTGCATTGTGGAAAACCTTGAGGGGACCTTTGTACAGCAGTGGACGTCATTTAACTAAAACGAACGAACGAATTGCATTGCATTAATAAAACCTATATGAATTTTACCTGGTCTTTAGTCTGGTCATGAATAGCTGGAGCCTCGTCTTTGTTCACTGCGGAGTCGTCGTTGTGTGCGTCGTCGGCGGAAGGTTTCGTGTCCCGCTCCTGAGTCCCAACGGTAGCCGCGGGCTCCACGTGTAGGCCGCGGCTATTCTCAATGTGTTCGGGGAAGCCGTCGACGCCCTGGATGTCGTTCTGCAGCGGGCTCTGGTCGTCGAAGCCGTGTGCCAGCTGCTGCCCGTCCTCCAAACCTGAAATCGTAGTCGGTTCCTTTGAGTGCACCGTTTCAAATGTTTTCACATTCCACCCGAGTCGACCCGGTCGAGTTCTGCGCAACTGGCGACCGTGACGTCACATCAAGCGAAGGAGACAACCCACCACCACCCATGGCCATACCAAACTTGCGGTTATACTGGCCGAATCGCGGGAGGTGTGCGCGGAATTGCGGCTGCCTAGGGCAGATTGCACTCCACCGCGCCACACTTCTTGACTCCCTACAAGTTTTTTTTCTTCGTCCTCGCGAAGGAGAGTTGTATTTCAGCGAGGTACGCAAATAGCTACCGGGTTGTAATTTGTTTCGTAAAATCCGCCGTCCGCCGCCAGCCTGCTGTCCCCGGCCGTGTGTGTGTGTGTGTGTGACGTACCCGCGTGTGAGGGCAGCACGCCGCCCATGCAGGACAGCAGCTGCGAGGCGAGCTGCACGCTGCACAGCCCGCCGTCCGCCAGCCGCAGCGCCGCCATCGACTCATCCAGTTTCTCTTCCGCGGTCTTGTCTGGAAATACAATATCATCGTTGATGAAAGTCGTACACACTTTAATTGTAGAAAATTCGACTGAAGGTGTAAGATAAGACCGGATTGAATTTTACATGTAGTACTACCGGGCCTGTTCATCTCCCCGAGCCTACTCGGGGGAACACTGCGCGTGTTTTGTTTTCGATGTAGGCTACGTTTACCACGGGTTTAATCTAGAAGGAATTCTGGAGTGACTACTATAGTGAGTGACGTTACGCGCATGTATGTCTCACCCATTATAAAAAAAAAACAAAGAAAAGAAGAAGCGTATGCGCTAGAAGGTGACACAGTAACGCCCGTATTCACAAACATTACTATGATGTCTCACAGTACGCGTGGACGCACAGAGTGACACACGAACCAATCACAGAGCTCTATTCAACGATGTGCGTTCAATTTGCTGCTTCACTTATGCAAGCATCGTTTGTGAATACGGGCGTAAGTTAGTGTATGTAAACGAAACAGTGCTAATCTCTCAAGACGAAGCTAAATTACACTATATCGCTGACGACATTGCGTAAACATTTTTTAAATACCTTCTCGAAGAAAACTTTCTGTACGTATTACATATTATTATCTTATAGTACTACTAGCCGCAATGTACCGTACTGAAATGAACAGACAACTTTATTATAAACTAGCATTCCGCTCGCGGCATCGCCCGCGTGGAATTTTGTTTATCACAGAAAAACTTTATCGCGCGCGTCCCTGTTTCTAATACCGGGATAAAAACTATCCTATGTCCTTTCCCGGAACTCGAACTCTATGCCAAATTTCATCATAATCGGTTTAGTAGTTTAGGCGTGAAAGCAAGACAGACACGAGTTATTTTCGCATTTATAATATTCATCATCATCATTATTATCTCAGCCATAGGACGTCCACTGCTGAACATAGGCCTCCCCCAATGCTTTCCATGTTACATTTATGATATTAGTATAGAAGTATACAGGGTGGAATTTTGTAAAGTCACCTGGAGGGAAAGTACTTTTAATACTGTAGATAGAAAATTTTACTGAAAGAAAACATTCCTTTGTTTTTGAAAAGAAATAGAACTGCATTCAAAGATTTCCGAAAATTGACTTGCCACACCCGGAATTCGAACCAACTAAATTCTGTGAAAAATTACGCCCTGTTTTTTATTGCATCGATCGTTAGGGTCAGGTATAAGGATGAAATCTCTCTAACAAACTTGATAAATCAAATGAAAGGAAAACCATGAAATGTTGGTTGGTGGTAGAGAATTTTCGAAATTTTTTTGAAAATCTTTGAATGCAGTTCTCTTTCTTTTCAAAAATAAAGGAATGTTTTCTTTCACTAAAATTTTTTATCTACAGTATTAAGAGTAGGGTCATTCCATCGTTTCGGGTGTTACGTTCGTACACACATATTCAACAATTTCATGTATTTTGAAATAGTATTTTAATAATGTTAGTGCCCTAATCTGTCCGTTTTTAGTTGTTTTATCTTAATAATAAAGTTTGTACAGCTTAGAATGTAGGATAACGAAAATATGATTCGAAAAGTGTGCGTTTCGGGCGTTACGAGATTTTGCCTCTATGTTCCGACTGTTGCTGCATTTACTCGAAATTTAGCGAATTTTCTTAAAGAATCATACCTAAAACTTACAGGACTTCTAAAGTATGACATTTACAAACCATGTAACATACAATCACTGTTAAATAAAACGTTTTACTATTTTTTTATAATTTTTTTCTTTGTTTCGGGTGTTACAATGGTTCTGTTTCGGGTGTTACGAGTACGAAAATTCAACTCGTTTTATCGATAAAATCGGTGTTTTATTAGTTTCTAGGTACTACAAAATAAGGAGTACAACAAATAAACACAAATAGAGAGAATTCTGGTTTGAAATTATGAAGCAGCTTTTTTTAAAAAATATACAAAGTTCAAGTTTAATTTTTCCTCAGAATATAGCCTTTTCTATTGTTTTTGGCTTGAAATAGCATTACTTTAATTTCTATTTACGATATTTATTGGAAATGTCAAACAT